AACCTTGATAAAAACCAATCACCTGCTTCTTCCCAATCATTTTTAGATAAACTACCAAAGAATTCAACCATAGTTGCTCGCCGCTTATTCATCTCTTCTTGATTGTCTGGTCTAAGTTGTTCAACATGGTGACTGACACGTTCATAAATAGGACGATCTGAAAGTGATAGGTCCGGTTCGCTGGGCTGCTCGCTAAGAGCCGAAGGGCCTTCAAAAGATTCTTCTTTAAGTTGTTCATAATCCATGTTTTTCAAAGCGGCATCATCATAATCAAGTGGAATATCAGCACGATTCAAATGGGTAATTTGTTGTTGTGTGTTTCCTGCATGAAAATTTGGTCGAGATTGAAGGGCTGGTTGTTCGTGCATGTGAGTGCTGTCTTCAGAGTATCGCTCACCATCAGAAGATCCCTCAGATTGACCTTGCTGCGTATCCCGAGGAGAGAGCGGTGGAAGACGATATTGCATATTTTCGGGGAGTATAGCATTTTCTAATACTTCAACTTGAGCTTTTCCAGATTTGGGCCTTGGCGAAAATACCCCATCGTCAAGACCTCGTTTTCGAGAACCTCCAATTGTTTGCATTCCATTCTTAGGACGATTTGTAATAGCGTGATTGAAACGATCAAATGTCTTTGGTTTGCTCGGGCTATTACGATGCGGCTTTTGGGACTGTAGTGGTATTTCTGACTGCATGGCAGGTTTGGGGGTCTGACTTTGCTTGTAAATGAGGGCTCCAAGAGCTTGCGTCTGTGGTCCTTGACCATTAGGTTGGTGAAATATCTTACGCGATTGAAGGGGTGCTCGTGCATCTTCAATGTATTCTTGACGACCGAATACAGACTCCTGTGGTGAGTCCCTGTCGTAACCATTCTCATGTGCAACGTGGAAATTATTTTGTTCCAGCTCCTCCTGCTGCCCTCTGTGATATCCGCCATCAAATTCACGATTGCCGCCAGTAGGCATTACTCCCATGTCCTGTCCACCTCGAAAGTTTCCCTGGCTGATAGTTTCATCAAAGGCGCTATTTACTGTAGAGTCCTCGAAATGTTCTGCATTTTCTTGCTCTTCCTCTTGGTTGTATTCTGCCTGTATTTGATTTGTTCCAGGAACTGTATTTTTTTGCGAAAATTCAGCCGGCTGTTCATAGACGGGCTCCTGATTGTGAGCTCGATTCATATTGGCAGATGCATCTCGTTGCTTCTTGGGAAGTATTCTTAACTTCTGTGCCATCGCTTGACGATCTGTACGTTGTTGGAGTGGTTGAGGGGATGGTGATGGTGGGTGAGTCGGATCAGATTCTTGCTGAAGGAAGCCGCTAAGGCGAGGATTGCCAGCCATGTTATAGACGTTATTAAGGAAATTGGCAAAAGGAAAGTTTAATGGCATGTGCGGAGTTGATGCGTTTGGGGTAGTTGATGTAAAATGTTCCAATTGTGAGATTAAAAATGTGTAACTTGTGAATAGAAAGATTATGTACGGTCGCAAATCATTTCATATCATCAATTTAGTGTAATAATTGATTTGATTAAAAGCAGAAGCTTGTACGGCGTAAAATTAATTGACTTGGATCCTTTTCAGATCATTCAATTAAGGTTGGGGTTGTTGGAAACTGTGATTGGGATGGCGAGAATGGTTGTTGAGTCGCGATTTCATTTCATAAATGAGGTTGAACGCGAGTCGCGACTTCCACGATAGGTGATCCCGTGACCTTAAGATTTAAGTGCGGTGCCAGTGGGTGCGTTGTGTTGTAGTACCCACCCACTCTACTTCCAAAGCTATTCCTTATCTCACATCATGGAAGAGAAATGTTCACGCATCAAAGTGATGAAATATGTTGGGTGTAAATTAAATAAGTTACTTTCATAAGAAATCTAAACTAAAAATAAGCAAAGCCTGCCTATACTACCAATACTGCCAGACTATCATACAAATGCGAACCACCAGAACGAACCGCACCGAAAGTTAAAAACCACAAAATCTTCATGACCTACGTATTCTTCGTAAACCATTACCAAATTGTTTTTGAAATCAATTAGTTGTTCCTAGCATATGCAGACTCAACCTCCTTCTTATACTTCTCCAAAATGGCCTTTCGCTGCAATTTTTGTGCAGATGTTACCAATCCCTATTAATGTTAGCATGCACCGTGTTGTAGAAGGAGGGAAATACTGACATTTTGAGGGGTCCATTCTTCATCTGATAAGACAACACCTTCGATGATTTCAATTCCTGACAATCCACCAGCCTTACCAGCTTGTTGTAATTCCTTCAAAACTGCATCTTGGATCTTCTTCTCGTGTACTAATTCCTCCACACTGGATCCTGGGACACCAATTCTTTCGGCGAGTTTCTTCAAGGCAGGTTCAGCTGGAACGATCAAAGCAATTGGCTTAGTTCTCTGTTGATCGGCATAAACGCAGATATTTCCTACAACTGTAGCGGAACGGTAGATAGATTCGAGTTTCTCAAGGGCAATATACTCTCCGTTTTGAGTTTTGACCAGATTCTTCTTTCGGTCGATGATGTTAAGATGACCATTCTTATCCCATTCTCCAATATCACCAGTCTTGAACCATCCGTCTGCAGTCAAGGCTTCTGCTGTTTCTTCGGGATTCTCGTAATAACCTTCCATGACGGGATCTCCTCTAATCCAAATTTCTCCTTGAGGGTTTGGTTTGTTGGTTGCATAATATCCAGCATCTGGGAAATCAACAAGCTTGATTTCAATAGAACCAGGGATGTCACCCAATGCTTCATCAGTCCATTCCATAGGATCCATCAAAGCACCCATAGCAGTAGTTTCAGTTAAACCATATCCGTTAATCATCGGTGTAATGGCCATGGAAATAAATCTCTGAGTATCTTTGGAGATTGGTCCACCACCATTCAGACAAATTCTGAGCTTTCCACCAGTGGCTTCCTTAACCTTTTTGAATACTAGTGCATCTAAAGCCTCAGCACCTGGAAGACCATAACGTAAGAGGTTGTTCTTAGCCCAAAGTGCACCCCAGAAGAGGTTTTTGACGATCGGGCTTCCACCATTAACCTTAGCAACAATACCCTTCTTGACTGACTCCCACACGGCGGGAACACCAACTAGAACGGTTGGCTGGAATTCTCGAATATCTCCCTTGCAATTCTTAACTGATGTATCCGACAAAGTCTTAGGGTTTCCGTAACCCATAGTTCCACCCCAATACAGACAAGCATTTTCGAAAACGAACTCGAGAATATGCGCAAGAGGAAGATATGTCAGAAGACCGTCACCTGGACCAAGATATGGTTCAACGATCACATTGACACCAGCAACTATAGTAAGCGCAAGCGCTAGTCAGCACAACTTATACATTTCACAAACAATAGATTTTACTTACCAGCTGCTACGACTGCCTTGTGCTTAATGGGTACACCCTTTGGTGGCCCGGTAGAACCGGAAGTATACATAATGCAGCACAGATCTTCTGATGCGGGAGGTACTGGTTCAACAGGATTCTCCTCGCCAAGCTTTCGTAATTCCTCGAAACTCAAAATCTTGAGCTTCTCGTGTGCCTTCTTGAGGCTATCGATATTCTCTTGCTTAACCTCATTCTGACTGTTCCAGATTACAAATTGGATATCTTTGGCTTCTTTGAGAGGGTTGATCAAGGTTGGTAATAGATGAGGATCCAAAAAGATAGCTTTGGCTCTGGTCGCAACCAAGGAATGCTTAAGACCTTCCTCTCCCAAAGTATCATATGCGGTAACAATTGGCATCGATTGAGAAACTGCGCCATGAGCAGTTGCTAACCAATGAGCACTTGTTGCCGCGAAAATGTGTACTCGATCCTCTTTGTTCAATCCAAGCTTTCTGTAACCAGCTCCAATTTGCAAGATTAACCTTTCATATTCCGAGAAGCTCATATATTTGTATTCGCTGAGTTCGAAATATGTCCATTTCTTGTCGACCTCTTGTTGTTCGCCATCAACCATCTTCTTCACCTTCTTCACCTCTTGGTGAGTCTTGATCAATGATCGACTTCCGACAGCTTTCGCATTTCCATACTTCTCGGAACTTCGTTTGATGATATCAAAAACAGTTGAAACATCTTCGGAAGGGCGGGTCGCAAGCTTGTTGGCTGTCGAAGGGTGTCTTCTTGGAATAGTCTCACCGTTGACGGGTTTGTGGCCCGGCACCTCTGCACTGAAAGGTGGTGAGTGATAGAATTTAGGTTGAACGGAAATGTTCTTGAGCGACCCTGAGGACGACATTTTGATCGGGTGGCGATGAAGCTCAGTTGTTGAGAGTTGATGTGTTTGATGGGTAGAGAAAGTTGGTGATGCGCAAGTTCCGGTCTTTGTTGATTTGACTTCGTGTTATGTATTTAGCAGACGAGAGAGATACGCGAATAGTCTTGAATTCGTGTAAGTACCTCTAGCTGCTGCCAGTACTGGATTTTCAATGAAAAGATATAATTCTTTTCAATTCAATTCACTTCCAGGAAATGGTTGAAATATATTCGGGATTTCGGGGAAGCAATTGAGGCTGGGGAGAAGGGAAGAAATAATAAATCGCCTTAAATAATAGCCAGGTAGATGGATTATGACGCTGCCTTGCTTTCCTTTCCTTTATTTTGGAGCAACCAAGATCCCGCGAGCCCGTCGAGTAAAGTTCAGAGCTTGGCCAATTGATGATGCTGAATTAAATGCACGGTTATTCACCAAAACACAAAAAGGTCCACCATACATAACCAGGTCAGATCAACATTATTTCAAAGCTGCCACTTTCTCTCTCACCCATTCATTCATCGAGCATTGATTGAGTATGGAATTGACATACGAAGTACGACGTAGCTGGAGAGCCTAGACCATACAGCATTGAGCGGAGGCAATAAGCTTCAACCATCTACTCTGTATAAAAAATCCCTGCTAGTAAAGCTATGCCGGCGTACGGCGTATATACCTGGATATCTGCTTGTGCTTTTAAACATCTTACTCACAGTTACATCTTACTTACATCTACTATCTATCTATCTATCTATCTTACAGTACCTGGATGCTGCTGACATTGGCGATGTTGGAGCGAGCATATCCATGCACATCATAGCATGTTTTGGTCATTGCTTCTATCTATCCACAATCGATCTATTCACTATCCAAGGATCATTTACATGCCAAAATTCTGATTGTCTATTCAGCTAAACATTGAGATAGAAAGGAAATGGATATCATACATCACACCTCGTTCAGCCATTATCATTATCATTATCTATCTACCCTGTACATTTCCTCTCTACATCTCCTCAAGCTTCTGACCGCTCGTGCTTGATTGCCTGTACAGATAAGCATCATTCACATACGATTCATATAGGTGGGTCAATACGGCAAAAAGGGAAGAACTTTTTTCTACTCGAGTACATACTACTATTGTATGTCTGATATGCCAGCTGTTACACTTTCGATAGTCTCACAAAAACGAATCTGATAGGCAGTAAACTTTCTCAACAACAAGCCCTATTTCTCTGATAGACCAAAGGATTACCCAGGTATATTGAAAAGGTTTCACCAGGCCAACTACAACGTTCAATCATGGCTGGCCGCGTACAACCATTTCTTGATTCTCTTGGCCCAGAAGTGGAGGACCCCGAAGAAGGTAAACAACCGATTTTATTACATATCCATTTCGCTTTTCTAGAGTTTCAATACAGTCAAGTGATTTTCCAATTGCTTGGAACGAGGCAGTGTGAGAGCCTTGGTAACACAGCAGTTTATTGTGGCGCGAGATGCTTACCGAAAAGGGAGTTAACACTTGGCTGCTTTTATAATTAATCGAAGTGGTCGTTGAGACGTTTCGGTGTGGTCACATTTGAGATTATGAGCACAACTTCGTGTCATCTTTCCAAGAGTATCAAAGGATTCATGCGGGTTCATAGGACATGTCTGAGACCCTGAATTTTAGCCAAGTTAACAAGCTAAAATAATTAATTCTAGAGGCGTTTCTGTTGTTCTCTCAAACCATCCCATCCCAGAATCTCGGATTCGTAGATTCAAAGGCTACTGAAATAGATTTCACCATTAACGGTAGAGATCTCACGATTTACCAATCTCCTACAATCTTATCATCAAATCGTGATGGGGGAACCACTGGAGCAGGTATATCAATCCTTCTATCACTATGTCTGACTCCTTACTAATGGTACACAGTGATATGGAAAATCACCCCCCTTTTCGCAAAATGGATATCATCACTTACAAATCCACTCCTCAAGCATCAGATAATCACCCCTGATTCAGTAGTCCTTGAATTAGGTTGTGGAATATCCGGCCTCATAGCCCTTACTCTATCACCCCTTCTCCAAACATACATCCTTACAGACCAACCATATGTTCTCAAATTTCTCTCTCAAAATCTTTCTTCTAACTCCTCTACACCATCAAGTACAACAAACTCCAAATCCAAGTCCCGAAAATCCAAAACCTCATCGTCAACATCCACATCCACATCCACATCAACAACTCAACAACCCTCAACCAATAAAATCATCCCTCTAACCCTCGACTGGGAAACCGACGTCGTCTCCCCCTCTCTCGCCTGCTCAGAAACCACCACGAGCTTCGACACAATCATAGCTTGCGATTGCATCTACAATGACGCATTAATCCCACCTTTCGTCCAAACATGTGTTGATCTCTGCCGTCTCCGTTCCACATCTTCATCTACCAAAAATCAAGATCAAACAGAAGCCCGCAATCCCACTCTCTGCATCATAGCCCAACAACTCCGTTCTCCGGATGTGTTTGAATCCTGGCTCAAGGAATTCAACAAATTCTTTAGAGTGTGGCGTGTACAAGAAGGAGGTATCCAGGAGTGTGGATTAGGAGAAGACTCGGGGTTTGTGGTGCATATTGGGATTTTGAGGTAGGAAGGAAAAGAGTTGATAGGATGTATCTCGTAAGTAGATCGGATTCCAAATACTACGACATCTTTCAACGTTGTTTTGCTAGCTTTGTTCTGGGTAAAGAGGGTGTATATCTTATCTTATCTTATCTTGAATTTTATATGGGATGATGGATCATATCATATCATATCATAGCATACTGAATACCCGAAATGAAGTTCTGACGTGTAGAATTAGATGGATATTGATACTGTTTGTTACTATCAAAAAACCATGCGGGGTGTTTAGAATTGCGCGGATACACAAATATTATCCGGAAATTTGATAAATGCATAGTAGCATTGCTTTCCATATATATACCCAGCTTTCTTCCCGTTCACAAGTTGATATAATGTTGGACGGTGTATGTATCTCACCAGATAAACTAGTGAAGCGTATACTATAATTCGTTTGTATAATTGTTGCGTATGCATGGATTTGGATTTGGAGAACGGGTGAATATCTCGTTGAGAAGTGTTGAAGAGATAGCTTTTTTGACTCGTACTATTCTCTTCTCTTCTCCAGTTAGTCGGAGAATCAAGAGTGGTACTTGAATATGGACGTATCTCCTTTATGTCCGAGTCAGAGACTCGATTATCTTGGTTGTGGCGACTCTGTGGATTTGGGAGTCAGGCTATGTGGATGAGAAAGATTGAGATGGAGATTATTTCTAGTATCTGTTGCTACCTACATAGAGTTATTGGGTGCTCTTTGGATTCATTCATTATGTTTTGAAGGTTGAAGATTGATCTATTGAGCTGCTTTTTCGTGTGTAGGAGGGGAGATTTGGGATGGTGAGAAAATTGTGTTGTTGCCGAATCGAATTATAGCTTGTGGGATACAACAACTCGAACATGTTTTGAAAGGAATGTGTGTTTAGATGGGAAATAACAATCAACATATCGCGTGTTTTAAAGGAAGCTTTTGGTGAAGACGTTGATGTGTGTGGCGGGGAAGTGAACATAGCTGGAGATCTACGTGTTGGCTGCAACGTAATTTCTTCGAACCTTGTGGCTCGTGTACGTTCTCAACCATTTCTCTATTCAATTAGGTCGAGATGAAACCGCTTTAGCAATGTAGAACTTGACGTCGTGGGTTATCATTCAAGAATTAGTCATCTGCACTCTTGCTTCCAGTATAAGCCATACAACTTTTGACACAACAATCAATCCACTTGGATTATAAACCCATTTTCTTTTAAAGCTACACATTCTTCCTTCAAACACTTGAAAGGGGGTTGAAGGCGTTGGCGATATAGTCTCTATATTTCGTTATAAATTCGATCATCTTTTGCTGTCCAATACGTATAGTGTGCGTTTCGAGTGTAATCCAATCAATCAACATCTCGGTATCAGTTTATTTTTAAATAGTAGAAAAATACTCAGATCACTCCAGTCTATTTGATCTGATTCACTACCACTATCAGAACCGTCACTACTACCCATAGTATCACTATCCAAGCCTTCATTTGAATCACATTACATACGATCTAGTTCTCGACTTTGAAACTCTAGATCTGCATCCAGCTCCACCTGTTGCCTCCCAGAATCGCCATCATCCAAAAAGTCCTCTATTGCCCGGGTTTCATCTAATGTTCTTCTTACCTCGTCCGCTGCGTAGCCCCAAATAGCATTATTAGTTAGTATATTAATACATGCATTAATCAATACTAGAATTCATATTGTAAACCTTACTTTTCAATTTTCATTGAATTCAGAATTTCTCTTTTCTTTTCCTCTTCCATTATTTTTCGATCCCCTTCATTTGCGTTTCGATATGATTGCGTCTTTTTTAGCTTCTTAATATGATATATGGCTTTAAACGCGGCGCGCGTGTCTGGGGGGAGGTTTTGCTGCCTTTGTCGCTTGTAAACAGTATGGGGATTGGACGAATATTCATTTATGCTTTTGCGACGCTTACCAGGCGCACCGCTACCAATACTTTTCGTTATTTGCGACATCTTTAATCTTCTGAAAGGTCCTGCTCTTTGAAATTGATATCGGAAATGGGAGTGATACTACAGGATAGAATACCCTGTGGTGGCAGAATCCGTGGTTGACGAATAAATCATTTCATCAATTGTATTAAAAATTTCAATAGTCAATATTATATTGAAAAAATGGGTTATACAGTATTAATGTGATTGACTTTTATATATGTATATGATTAGAAAATTTTATTTTAAAGGGATTTAGAGAAATTTTCGAAATTTCTTGATTTTCGAAAGTTTTAGCCTAAAGCTATTTACAAGTAAAAAAGTTTATTTGTATTGAATTCAATTAATAATCAATTATTCAATCATAACTATATAGATTAGAGTTGAATAGTATTCTTGTTTAAACGGTATATTCTATACTGTATGGTATAGTGGTAAAGCTTTTGATTGAAGAATAAATCGAAAGTGAAGTGAATGCTCTGTGAACAGACCCCCCTTTAGACTTTCGCCTAATGCCTTTCCCACCCTTTAGCTTCCCCGCTCGCTCCCATCTTCCTTTAGCTCCTACGCTCACTCCCCTTCTCCTCTTAGCTCCCCCGCTCGTTCCCCTTCTCCCCCTAGCTTCTACGCTCACTCCCCTTCCGTCCACCTTTCCTAAAATCATAAAAGTCCTTCAGCTGAAGGGCCTTTATTTTCTTTATATTTATTAAAATTCAATAATAAACGGTTGCCATTTTGAACTGGAAATATTCATCGATAATGAAAAATGGGTTTCGTCAGGGATGAAAAAAGTTTGAATTCAATAATGTACGTATCAAATATTTATACAGAAATTTATACTGACATTTTATTCGTACATAGGTATTAACTCTGCCACCACAGGGATAAGCTTTCGCTGGAATAAAATTCTTGAAATAGGGAGTAGTGATGAGGCCTAATTTAGAGCGGAGCACAGACGATCCATTGTGTCACATGGCCATGTTTACTTCTTTCGCCCTACAAACGGAAATATGCAAACTCTTATACAAACGCTTCCTTTTCATAATTTAAGACTATATTATATTCAGAAGGGTGCTGGATTACATTCACTTTCGTTAGTATGTAACCCTCACAGCTCCGGTGTAGCAATCGGTACTAACCCTCTTATTTATTAAAAGTCCCAAACAGAATTTCATGCAAAACGTCTCATACTTTTTGAATAGTGTGAGGGATATTATAATGTCAACGCGAAGGCTGCACTTACGAGAACTACCTAGAATCAGAAGGGGAGAAACCGATAGGCGATCTAGGCAAATGCCAGACCAAGAAGCGTCACAAGGGTCTCAAAATGGTCCCACTCATACGCCAGATCAATCTCCCCCTCACTCTCCGAGACGATCCCCCATTCGCTCTCTTACACGCTCTCCCACACGCTCTCCCACTCCTCAGCCTTGGCCTCGACCTGGCAATCATAAAGGACGAGCTCAAACTGGTGGTAAAACCATCAAATCTAGTCGAGCGAAAAAGCCTCTTCTTGGCCGAAAGTCTACACCAAAAAAGGGTATCAAAAAACCCAAGATACCCATATTTAAGCACAAGCCGAGGAGAATATTAACCAGTGGAAAGAGAGTTCGTGATTTGAGTAAGTCCATTCATAAAATTTTGGGGTTCGAATTATCAGATTGACTCCATTTAGAACTTTTATCGAGAGAGATAAAGTTTTATACAAGCACTTGGGCGAATCTCATACCTCGAGCACCGTTTGCGAGACTTGTACGACAGGTCGCTCAACCGATCAAAAATGATCTTCGATTCCAATCATCGGCAATCGAAGCGCTGCAAGAAGCTGCGGAGATGATGTTAACGATTCGTTTTGATAGTAGGTTTTTAATAGCCTTATTTCAGTATGTGTACTAAATTTTATAGTTCTGCAGGATATGGCCCGCCACGCCCACCGAACCACTATCATGGGAAGGGACGCGGGATTGTTACAGCGAACATTAAAAAAGGCTGTAGGCATTGACGATATTGGTCTTACACCGACATCAGAAGGGTTTCGTGGCTACAAAGCCTAATTTTTTAATCTCCATTAAACTCTTTTTTGTTTCCTGCTTTTACATGTTTTTACATGTTTTTACGTGTTTTTATGACTCGTTTCTAGGAGTTGGAATACACTAAGTATCACCAAATGCGTCATTACATTACTGTCAATATGGCTGATATCAGCGCTGGAGTATATAGAATAAAGAATATAAGTAGAGAGAGAAAGGATTGATAATAATGAAAGACATATTTATAAGTATTACATACCCCCTCGTAAGCATGGCGATTGATGAATGAGTGACTACTCAAGCCAGAGGTCCGCAATATTACCTCAGTGTTTGCGATGAAAATAGAACCTCACAAAATTTTCCAGTTTATTTGGTTGCTACGAAAGAAGTAATGCGAACTTCTAGGTAGGTACCTCGATAGGAAAACAGTCCTACAATCCTGCACTAGTTCTGGCAGTCGGACACAATATTAAAATGAGACTTCTTATCACCCTTCAGGTTCTTTCATCCGTGATCGCGGCATTTGCAGCTCCCATTCATGTTCAGACAATTGATGATACATTTGTCACTCTGCCTCCAAACCCTATGATCAAACTGCCGGCACCGGGTTTTGCTTTCAAGCTTTATATGTCTGTTTATGAGTTGAAACCCGATGAACTTGGACTTATCTCACTTGCTTCAGAAACGGAGTCAGCGGAATCAAGTTTGGAGCTACGAATGTAGCTGATCAATTGATTTTGTTGTCGATACTTATGGCTCTTGATTTTGTGTAGTTAAGCAAGCCATTAAGAATCGTTCTTGCCCACGACCAATTTGAGAAACGGACGGTCTCAATTACTTACATTAATAGTGAAACCAGCAACCTTTGGCTGAGATCAGCTGGCCATGAGCATCAGAGGCAGAGAGTCATGAATTGTGGGAAGTGTATAGGAACAGAAGAGAACCCCGAAATTGTTGATAACGATGTGCAGAGCATTCCAAACTCGACAAGAAACTGCATACGGGTCCTTGGATCTACAGAGATGGCAAACTTAGAAGCCATAAATACGCAATATTGTCGAGTGCAGAAGTTTTGGAGAAACTCTGGGAAAGTAGTGAGAACTGTTTTGAGTTCGCGGCAGACAATGATACTGGCGGTGTGGTTAAGAAGCGGGAAATGTTGGGTTTTTAATGATATCAATCATGGGGATATCCTGGAGTTTCCGGATGAGAACAAGGGGTTGTTAAGAATGGGCTCATAGAGACGAGGAGAAACATGCAATGGAACGAGGAGTTTCATAGACAATATTACGGCTAAAAATAAGAGCTGAGAATCGAGAGGAATGGATCTAGTCATATCACTAAAGCTTGAAAGGTGAAATAGTTTTTTGTCTTGTGAATAAAATATGATTATTTAATTCAGAGCCTGCTGTTTTATTTTTCGGGCCAAGAACTATATCTTCCTTCCCATCTACATCTCAAACATTTTATTAGTATACCGTCTCAGTGATAAATCCTCAAACGCCTCCCTCCCATTGTCCAGCGGCATTTCCCTCGACATTGCATTTTTGACACCTTCGCCTTCCAAAATCCAACTGTCACTACGAAAAGTATCAATCAAACAACCGACCAACATTCCAATCATCATTGGCGCCACCTTCGATGCTGGGCACAGAAAACTAACTTTCCCAAACGGCATCCATGCTTCCTTATGTGCCATGTTACCTTTACTCTCCAATTCACTCCATCGTTCTGGTCTGAACTCATTTCCATCTGTTCCCCAGATCTCTTCAGTCCTTTGTATATACTCAACATCGACTGCGAAGATTGGTCCATTGTCTACATTCTGCCGATAAATCCTCTTGGTCGGTGGATATAAACGCAGAGCTTCAAAGACGATATCTCGAGCCGAACATCTTCCCTTCCGTTCGCTAAATTGTTCAGCTGTCATATTTGTCAAAAATCGAGCGAGAACATCTTTCCATTCAGTCGCCATATCAGACGAGTGCCGAAATGAAATTTCCAGGAAACAACGAAGGACAATTCTCCACAGCGTTTCGTATGCAGGGAGAAGAATGTTGAGTGGATTTTCATTCTCGTAGTTGGTGGATAGGGATAGCGAATCGAGTTCGTGCCGCAACGAGTTCTGCATTGGGATTTTTGAGGGCTGGGTGAAACAGGAACATTTGGATGATATCCAGAGGGAGTTGATGAGTTGGGTTATGCGGATGATGGAGATTTGCGTGGTTCTCGCATGTTCCGAGGGAAAGAATTTGAGAAGCACGAATCGAAAACAGAAGACTTGGATTAGGGGACTGAGCGGGGTGATTCCATTTTTAGAGATGGAGGGGGCGATCTCATCATTGAGAATGGAGAGGACTTTTGGTAGGGTGGAGGTCGATTCATCAGATGTCTTCAATAGAGATTTGGCTCTCGTGAGGAATGATCGGTAAAAAGCTTGATCGGTTGTTGTAAATGCGTTGGAAACGGAGAAAACTTGCACAAGTCGTTGGTTTGGTAGAGCTCGAGAGGGAAGTGTAGATGCTCTCAAAATCTCTGTCGCTTCTGACAATTTTCGGATCGAGATGATCTTCTCTTTGCAAGTGCATCTTCGGTAGAGTTTTGTCCGTGTCGAAATGCAAATGAAACAGTATGTAAGAATTGAGACAGTGATGAAGATAGCCAGCGCAAGTAATGGATCCATCGCTTCCACTCAACTTGAAAGTTTCCACTCTCTGGATAGTAAAACCATCACTGTCCTTGACTAGTACTTGTAGGCGAATAAATGGCAGCTTCCACCCAAAGCATCTCGGTCCTCTCAAGCTTCGACAGTTGGCAACTGTCATTGTCTCGGGCGCCTGCATGAGAATTTGGACGGACTTGTTGCTTCTTTCATCCATTCAACGGCCCACAACTAGGGTTGGGCACAGGGTTGGGCAAACCCGGGGTAATCTGGGGTGTTTCCGGTCAGCATATCACTCTGCTTGGCCTTGACCTATAGAGGGAAGAGTGAACAACTTACAGAGTGGCTCAACTACCCTAGGTACCCGGAGGCCTTCCTGCGTGGTGCTGCGTACAATGAAAAACTGATTATTAGAACTTCAAATATGCGAATAATGATTATACATGTTCGCTTGCATGCCTCACTATTGTATACCTATTCAGAAATGACTTCGACTTCGGACAATAATAAAGAACGATTTTGTGATTTATGTCTCGGTTACTTGAAATATCGGATGTACCTGGGAGCTATTCTATGGAATACTGTGGGATAGAGTCATCACTCTGTAGAAGCCAAATGCCTTGGTTAAGGTACGAGTGCTCATACCAACTCGTAAATAGAAAGGTGTCCCTCGTATCAAAAGAAAACACGACAAACGGATGGAATTAGAAATTGCTAGCCTCACTTTCAGATCCTGAAGAACTTTGAGTGGCGTTTGGATTCGAACTGGATAGAGAGGGTTTGGAATGAACAACACACGAAGTTTTCTTGGGAATGAGCATGATTGGTGATGGAAAAGTAAATTTATTGGGTTGAATTGGGATTGGCTCAAGGAAGGGTAATTATATACCCGTGTGGGGTTAGAAATCAACACTGGTTTAATCTCTACGAATATATAGGGTATACTAAGATTGAAACGTTTGAGAGGCGACCTATGAACTTTCAGGGTGGTCTTGGTTTGATTCATGTTTGCGGCTCTTAACCTCGTTCGATAATGTAATAATTATATTCCAAGGGTGAAGAAATGTAGTGGGGTATTACTCTGGATTTCTGCAGGACATGGTATTGGATGAAATTAGAACTGGACAGGTACGCAGGCTGCCGTATGCATATCGTAATCTTCAAACGCTCGATGTCGTAGTGCGTAATATGTTAAATCTCTAATATTGGAGACTCAGAATCATGCAACGGGTCGCTGAGGTAGAGAAACAGGTTATAGATGGCTCATGAATGTATATGTACCCAGTTGAGATGAGGTGCAAACGAAATCGACGCTGAAGACGGATGCCGGATACCAATAATGGATACTATCTGACGTGATCAACAAAAGTAATTTGATACAAATGATTTCGTTGTTTCGTTCATTTAACTGGATGGCTGAAACTAAATCTAAGATGCAGGATTAGAACTAATGATTTTTATGAGAGAAGTTACACACAAGAGATCCAATGTCCATACGAATTATACTGTGGGGACCGTGAGTTGAAACCTCCATTAAGGACTGCTGCTTAATATGACATAAATCGCCACGCGATGATGAGATGTTTTCCTTAACAAAATGAAGATGGTATCTGGTGAAACGGTGTCGAAGTCACATGTTTCCCATTCGATGTTCCAAATAAGATATTTTTCGAGTTGAGTCTCAGATATGGACACTCGAAATTTCATTTAAAATCCATAAGAAGAGAATTCATTCACAACCTTATGAATATAGTTCGAACTTAATATCGTATATTGCAAAAAGTAATGCCTCTGCAGGTTTATGGCAACAGAACGGCGTTGAGACATAAACATGAGACAAAGACGTAGATATTCACGGCCAAATCTACATCTTGGCTTGATTTTGTTCTACATACAGATAATAAATACAATAAATGGAACGGCTATCGCTATAAGCTTGGGATGAGATCTTCAGGTGACGCTGTAGAGCAATAGGCGAAGGTCAACATTCCTTTTTAGCGACGAAAAGACAAGCATTCTCTAAAGATATTTGTGGTCTAGAATCCGTTTTGAGAGTATTATCCTCTAATGATGAATAAGTTAAGAGTCGAGTGTTCTTTTTTCCACTTGGATTATATCTCATCAAGCCACGGTTCATGGAACAACTCAAAATCAACCATCTCTCCACGATATCTCCGACACTTCTTGATGTCTGCCACATGATACTAAGATTACCAGCTAGTAGGTATTTTCTCACTGCTATTAAAGAAATCATACTTTGGAGATCGGAGAGAATAATACGGCCGATGGAATAAGTAACTCAAAATGAATCAAACTTTTCCTATGCTGTCTTCACATGAAAGATAAGATGTAGATATAACAAAACCAGCTATATGTGACGCGAACACAAGATAAAGTTCTAGATGTCGAAAGATGCACAACTTACTTGATTATTGGAATTAGAAATAATGCTTTGATAGCTGATGCAACCAATATATCAAATTTGCAAGCCACATTGAAAAAAATATAACATGTCAACTCATCATTGATGTATTCAAAAGTACTACCTTGTGAGCTTCCAGTATCGCTTTGGTAGTAATAAAACGACGAACCATTTATGTGTACTAGAACCCCCCACGATCCTGTAGGGTGCAAATCAGGGGGAAATTCAAGACTCGCTTATCCTTCGGAGCCTTTATCGCTCCCCTGAGTGTATCTCTCCTCGACTTCGGCAAACAAAAGATATCATTCTTACCTGTCATATTTTGGCTCTCCAAAAAATAAAGAATTGATACAGCCGAAACACTCATAAATCTTCTAATATTCGTGATTTCTGCCCTGTATAGTGCTGCTTACGAGACCTCACAACTAAAGTTCATGTAGGCCAACACTCCAATCGCACTCTTATCTCCCATTTTCCAATCATTGAAGCTTATCATTTTCAATATCCCCACGTAGCAATTACCCCAAAAGACCCCCACAGAGGCATATCACCGATCGAACAACATGGTAACATCGTGAAGTGACATCGTTGGAACCGTCAATTCCGAACCTCAATGCACCTGCGTGGATTCGAGATGAC